GTTTCGTTGTGCAACAGTGTGCGCATGATCCGGAGTGCGCGTGATGCTCGTGAAAGCATCGAGATCGAGGTCATTGTTGACTCAGGAGCTGACGCGTCGTGTTTGCCTCACAGCTTGAGTACTGTTGGAACTTGCTCAGGCAGGCCTGCAGAGTTCTTCCAGGATGCACAAGGGAACCCTTTGATGGTCCACGGGACCAGGCGAGCTGAGCTGAGCTATGGGGATCAGCCAGCATTCACTGAAACATTTCTGGTCGCCCCTCACATCGGCACTCCCCTTCTAGCCGTTGGGAAGTTGTATCGCGCAGGCTTCAGTTTGCGGAATGAAGATGGCCGCATGAGCCTTTGCAGCCCCAATGGAGACATCCAGATCCCTCTGTATCTGAAGCAGAACAGCCTTGCTGCAAAGTTGCATGTGCGTGTCATTCAGCAGGATCCTCAGAGTGTCAGAGCTTTGAAGTGCACCGTAGGTGATATGGAACTGCCTGATCACTTTGTGCAATTGCAGCCAGATGTGTTTGGCATGCGTTCCCACAGCAATCGCTTTGTCGACATAACAATGGCTTTGCCTCGCGAGGGTTGCAGCTTCAGGAGTACCGTTGCCAAGGCTTCGGGCTCAGATGAGTGGGAAATCCTTGAATGGTGCGAAAGCATCGTTGATGTCGATGAGTTGAGTGCATTGCTGCCCGGAGGAAACAATCATGAGGTCATTGTTTTCGCCACTCGTAAGGTCGTGGCGCCTGACGATGTCGGGTTGACAGTTGTTGGTGATGAAGGACCTACCGGGTCCAGTGGGCTTCCTGCCCCTCCTGCAGATGATGCTGACATGGTCGGATCAGAGCCTCAGCATCATGATGCCGTAGATCCCGACAAAGAGGCTGAGTTGCAGGTGGATGCAGCAATGCGTGATGAGGTGCCAGCAGATGACGATGGCAGCTTGATGGTTGATGGAGTCTCCCTCAGCCTTGACTCGACTTTGAGTGTTTTGCGCCAAGCGGCCCAATCTCTAGGGCTCGGACGCAGCGGCGGGAAGTCGACTGTCCTCAAGCGTATCAAAGACCATCTGACCCGCCAAAGTTTGCTGGCCGCGCATCAAGCTCGAGAGCATCTTGCAAGCACCACCGAGCGTGTGCCTCAGGAACAAAAGCCAGTTGTTCCACCGAGCGAGGAGGAACGCCGTCTGCATAGCCTTACGCATACGCCATTCAGAGAATGGTGCAGTCACTGTGCCTCTTACCGGTCCAAGTCAGACCGACACGAGGCTCGCACAGGCAATGCCAGAACGAGTTCAGTGCTGTGCTATGACTTCTGCTTTACCAATCGTCTTGAGAAAGAAGAGAAACTTTGTTGCCTCGTTTGCCACGACTCGGACACCAAATGGATCCAAGCGTGGCCGGTGTCGCATAAGGGAGGAACGTCGGCCAGGAATTATCTTTCGGTGGAGATTGCAAAACTGCTTTCTTACTTGGGACACCGGCGGATAACTTTGAGAGCCGATCCGGAACCGGCTTGCTCAGCTCTGGGCAATGCCATCCAATCCTTGAGGCACCGCATCGGCATGGAAACCCACATTGAACAGAC